ATGTACCAATGTAATTTCCACCTGGGTTTAAAATTGCATCTCTGAAATTCTAAGAAAAAAATCAAATTCTAGAACAAAGTTGTATTTATATTACCTCCCCCAATTCTCAGAATTTTTTTTGTTATAAATGTACAGAATAATCCCAAATCCTTGGACTACAAGCAATAATTGAAGTAATGTGATGGCATTAAACCCGTTGTTCTTTGCTGGATCTGTTTGTATTTGTTTGCTCAACCAGAACAGCTGTTCAGTAGGCAGAACTATCTCGCAGTTTCCCACAAGACTGCAGGCTCTAAGGGAGAATGGCGGGAGAAATTGTTGGCCATGTGGAAGCATGCTCATTCCAAGATTTCTCAGAAACAGCAGCTGTATGTCTGGAAGCTGAGCAAGCCTACTATATGAACAGAGGCAATCAGCATGTATACATTATGTGTTTAGCTTGGTATCAACTTACAGTTGATACAACAACAACAAGATTACATTTGTATAGCGCCTTTCACGTCGGGAGGACGTCTCAAGGCACTGCACAGTGCACAGCATTTCAGACCCGAGCTGGGGTCAGGGCAGGAGAAGGGAGGGGAAGGGGGGTGGCCGATGGCATGGTCGAAGAGGAAGGTCTTGAGGCGGGACTTGAAGGAGGCTAAGGAGGGGTCGAGGCGGAGTGATTGGGGGATGGAATTCCAGAGGTTAGGGGCAGAATGGCTAAAGGCTCTCCCGCCAATGGTGGGGCGGGTGGGTCGAGGGACGTGGAGCAGGCCGGAGCCGGCTAAGCGAGTGGGTTGATAGGGGGTTAGGAGATCACAGAGGTAGGGTGGGGTGAGAACCAGGATCTTGAACTGTTGAGATACCTGGAGAGACCAGAGAAATCTCAGCAGATATATTGAATATGAATCTGTCTTAGCAAACTCAATATTGAGACAGCACTAACTTCATGGGTGAACAAAGTGAAATATTTGGGTGCCAGTGTTTGATATTACATTTGCAACAAGAAAGCAGTTATGTACAGCTGTACAGGGACCTGAAGTTCAGTGGACCCTAAGCAGCCATGGGATTCTCCACTGGCTCCCAATTCCCCAGTGGACTGACTTCAAGATCATCATTCTAACTTTCAAATGCCTCCATTCATTTTCTCCATCCCTAAACCCGTAATCTCCTGTAATTCAACTGTTAACTCAGAGCTGTGTGCACTTCCATCACCAGTGAGGTTTCAGTCATTTTGCCCTCCTCCCTAAATTCCTCCTCGCATCCTCCATCTGAAAATCCTTCTTAAAACCTACCTTTGGTCACTTTGCTCCTCTTCCCTACTCTGGCTCCCACTCCATCTCTGTGAAAACACTTTTTTTTTGGTTAGCCAGGTGTCTGACACATGCGGAAACCCATCACCATGCTAAAGAATATTCAAATCAAACTGAGAATTAAATGCATCCCACATTTAATAATCCTTGCATTTGATACAGCGCCTATCAACAATGCCCTGGAATACTGCAGTCCTTCCTGCCTGGCTCAGGAACTAGACTACTGAGACCGCCAGACGGCTGGCTCGATTCTGACGTTGCCTAACATATCACCTTGAAACCAGTTCAGCTCCAACTCTGTGAAGTACTTCAGAGACAATTGCCTACTTGAAAAGAGCTCTGTAAGAGCAAGTTGTCAGTGACACCACCATTTTGTTGATGCTATGATGGACATTTTAAAATACAGAGACAATAAAGGGGTACAACAACCAATACTAAGGATCAAAGAAGACTTCATTCTCAAGTAGAGATATTGCCCTTTTTTAAAAACTGTTAGTTTATTGGGTGATTTGTCTCCTTATTGTTCATATTCGATATGCAGTTGGTTTTATGCTGGTTAGGTTTTCTTTTTGCTTTAAAATTAATAAAGCAACACTGGTTTCTATTTCTGATTAATTAATATGATGATTTTCAATCCAGAAAAAAAGTTTTCAAATTATTCATATAAACAGGTCTGCCTGAACCTACTTTGAAACACAATTCACTTGATCTTCTGGTGGGAAGATTGGATTTGGGAAATTTCAGATATTCGTTCTGATTGTTTTTAAAAACATGAAATTAAGCCGCAATTTTAATTTGGCCAAAAGTGGTACAAAAGAAGAAAGAACTTGCACTTTTACAGCATCTTATCATATTCAAACATCTTAAAATAATTCACAGGCAATTATGGTCAAGTACTGCAGTTACTGTTTTTGCAGTCAAATGAGCCAGCAAACAATGACAAACAGCCATAAGGTGAATGACCAAATAATCTGAAAGACTTGCTTCATTTTAAAAATTCACACTTGCACAACCACCTTTCATGTGGAAGGAACACCTTGAAGCACTTGAGATATAATGAAAATCACTGAACAGGGAATAGGGAGATTTAAGGAATGAAAGAGCCAGGGCCATTGAAGGGCTGGCGTGAACTGTTCGCAACTTCACAGAAGAAAAAACGCCAATTTTGATGACTTTGAAGGCTAAGAGAGCAAAAAACATAGAAATTTATGGAACAGTAGAAGACCATATAGCCCAACATCTCTGTGCCAGCTCCCTCAAGAAATAGAGAAGAGGAAAATTTTAGAAGAGAGATCCAGAAGACCAGGGTATTGTGACTGAAATTTTAGTCACTGATGATTGGGCAGAGCGAGTTGAGAACAGAGAGCAAGGAATACACAATAGACAAGAATTAGAAAAGCAGTTGCAGCAGAAGAATAAAACAAAAAAAAGGAAACGATTGCCTGTTAGGAAGAACTGAGACCATGGAATGATTTGAAGGATAGGATGATTTTAAAAGTTGATCAACTGGTTTACTAAGAGCCATTCAGTGGAGCTTGGGGAGGAGGTGTGGAGCAGAATTGCAGCTGCAGTTTTGAATGAGATGTAACCTTAGCATTGTCTTAGATAAAATTCAGCTGCAAGGGAGGGCTTATTCCTAAAAGCCATTTATGCAATTTTATGATTTGATGCTCTAACCGATTTACCCAGTCACCAGTGCAATCATCACATAAATGAGGCAGATTCTAAAGCATCACCAGGTCAGCATATTACAGACCCACTTATACTTATTGGCTTTGTATGACCCCAGCTCAGGTCTGAAATGCTGTACACTGTACAGCGCCTTGGGACGTCCTCCCGACGTGAAAGGCGCTATACAAATGTAATCTTGTTGTTGTAATATAAAAGCAGCATACACAATTAATTGAAATCTCTAAAACCAAACCAAAGTGTTAAGACAAAGAAGATAAGAGCTGCTGCCCACAATCAAAACATTTGGACTGAATACCATCAGCAAAATTTCACACCCTGTTTCTCCTGCCTGGAGAACTCTTCTCCCAAAAGTTTCATCACGTGGAACTTAACGTGCTTTGGTATACATTCCCTAAAATCCAAAAAAGCGCCGGTGATGTCACATGAACTACATTCAAGCTCACTCCAAAAGGCTTCTGTAAATGGAACAAGTCATAAACTGCACAGCATTTTCAAACATGTGAAATGCAAGTCTGATCTGTGATTTGCTGTTCAGCAATGGTACCAGTGGTACTGAAGAACTTATTTAGGGTAGGTAATATGGAGCAAGGATGACAAGTTAAAAAATAGCCAATGAAACTGAAAAGTAGTGGTTGCTTTTTTATGTAAACAGTGGCCATCTGGCCTCAGTCCCTGTCCTCAGGAACTGAGACCACATGGACAAAGGAAACATAGACCAAGGTACCACATACTGTTTGTAAATCTATCCGATACACATCAGATTTAATACTTATCTATCTTGGGAAAAAAACGTTGACACCTTTCTGCTCGCAGCTATCGAATAACCCTGGGTATAGTCAATACAAGTTAAATATCTGCGTGTGATGATATAATGGGTCGCAGTAATATTACATCTACAGAGAAAAGCTCAAGAAACCTATTAAACGTCAGAATAAAATACTATTACTAAATTGATTCCGCCTGAAAACATTTCTCTTCGACCGTGTTTACGGCCACCTCCCCGCCCCCCCCCCCCGGCTCTGAGTCAGGCTGCGCCCACTGCTAAGCGCTCTGAGACGCTATCCTGCGCGGAGGGCGCTGTACAAAGTGCAAGTTGTTGACCAGTCAGAGGTGGCTGCAGACCTCGCAATTTGGTCGCATTGCAACCTGATGCTCGTCCGAATGGGGAAACCTCGCTGCTCCTTCCTTCCCCGACGGACCGCAGCGTTTGTCCCGACGGTTACGACAGGGCTTTAAAAACTTTTTTTTAAAAGAAAGAGGCGAAACAAATACTGTACACAAAACACGTGAAAAGTCGGGGTGGGGGGGGAATAGAGGGAGGGGGACGCTCTTCTCTTCAAAAAGTGCCGCTTTATCTGCCTGTCCTGCAACCACATCCAGTGAGTGAACGTTCACAGCAGATGTTCTTGCTTTGATTTTTTTCCCCGCCCCCGGTGTTGAGGTTTTTAAAACACTTTGCGTTCAAAAACAAACTCCCGACATGGCTTCCAGACGGAAAAAAAATAGACTCAAAACGTTGAAAGGCAAAAAAAAAAAAACTTTTTTTTTTGGAATCTAAAAAAACCTGATTTGTAGCAAAAGTTTGCTCCCCCCTCCCCTCCCCCTCCCCCCCCCCCCACGGCTGCAGCAAACGACGGGAGAGGGAGGAGGGGGAGAGTGGGGTTTATTGTCCGGGATCCAGAGGGGGAGAGTGGGGTTTATTGTCCGGGATCCAGAGGGGGAGAGTGGGGTTTATTGTCCGGGATCCAGAGGGGGAGAGTGGGGTTTATTGTCCGGGATCCAGAGGGGGAGAGTGGGGTTTATTGTCCAGGATCCAGAGGGAGAGAGAGAGTGGAGAGGGATGGTCTTGGCTCCTCTCTGCTACTCTTTCGGGCGCAATAATAAACAAAAACGTGATGTAAAGTGTTTCTGATTTACGGACACCTTCTCTGTAACCGACCCACTGCATCTCATGGGCTGGGGGGAGAGGGGGAGGGAGGAGGCAGCAGCGCTGGCAGACAACGGGAGTCCTACCTGCTGATATAGCCGTCTCCGTCCCCATCGCAGGTCTGGAAGAGGCGCCTCATCCGCTCCTCCTCGCCGGTGCTCGAAGTGTCGCTGCTGCCGCTGCTGGCGCTCGCCGCAGCCGCCGCCGTCGCCATCTTCCTCCCGGCTAACGGCACCCGAAGCACGTCACAGCTCGAGAGAGAGAGAGCGGAGGTAGGGGAGGGGGGGGGAAGAGCTGCGCGAGGAGCGACCGTTGCAAACAAACGGTTAAGTGTGCGCGGACCCCCCCCAACCCGACTTCCGAAACTTCCTCTCGTGCTCACACAAAACCCGGCGCGGTCTCCGCTCGCCCCTGCGCGCGCCACCCGCACCAATCACAGCAGCCGATTCGGAGGAGCCCAGGGCGCACCGCGCATGCGCGTTCATTCCCCCCCCCCCCCCACACGCACACCCCGCGCGCCACCCGCCGCGCATGCGCGTGCGCACTGGTACCACTCTACGGGTTTCGCTGGGATTTCTTCTGCCGCCAATGTTGCCAGAGGTTGGGCGGGTTCACGCCCAATTGGGCGGCCTGTGCTTTGTGTTGTTACTGGACGTGAAGAGCTGCTTTGGGCGAGTTGCCTAACTTTTACATATTTAATTAGAAAAACGTGTTTTTTCCCTTTCAAGATCTCTTTAAGTTTCAAAAACACCGGCCGAAACCAGCCGCTCTGCTACCCATAGAAGCCAACACATAATATTGGGCTAATATTTGGTTGACTTATGGCTACAAATGTATTGTAATTTCTGGCATTCCTGCCCATCACCACTTCTAACCCAGAGAGGAGTGGGAAATGGTTCGGCGCTCAACAACAACATTACATTTGTATAGCGCCTTTCATATCGGGAGGACGTCCCAAGGTGCTGGACAATCACGTAAGAGAGCGAGAGAGAGGTTGGAGAAACAGAACAATTTATAAATAAGCAAATCATGATGGGTTTTATTAGGAGTAGAGGAAGGTTATTTCCACTGATAGGCGAGTCGGTGACGAGGGGGCAGATATACGATAGCCACAACAGCGAAAAGAGAACTTAGCAAGAATTTCTTCACCCAGAGAGTAGTTGGGATGTGGAATGCCCTGCCCAGCAGGTTGGTGAAGGTAGAGTGCATTGTAGCTTTCAAGAGGGAAGTGGACGGGCATATGAAAGAGAAGGGCTGGAAGGGGATGGGGAAAATAATAATAATAATCCTTGCATTTGATATAGCACCTCATCACGTTCGTAGAGACGACTCAGTGTGCTTCATATGATATACTATAAAGTGGATTGACTGTATTTTGTAGGCAGAACGGTTGAATTGAAGGAATATCTTTGCTTTCTGAGCTGGTGCAGGCTTGATGAGCCAAATGGCCTCCTTCCATGCTGTAGATTTCTATGTTCCTAAATTTTGAAAAAAAAAATGCATCTACCAAATTATACAAAGAGTGTCTTTATTACCTGGGTAACAAAACTTATGTTAAAGCGAAGCAGACCACAAATTGATCATTGCTAAGGCAGAAGTGCACTTTTTCATTTATTTAATATATCTTGTGATGTAGAAACACTATTGTTATTTCATTCCACCATAACTTAAACTCAACCTAACCTTTCCTACCGAGTCTATTTTTGACATAACAAGAAGGCAACACTACATGGTACCCAGGTAGTGAAAGCACTCTTTGTATATTTATTAAATGAAATGCGCTAAAGCATTTTTTTTAAAAATACACTGCTTTTCCAGCGGTAATAATTCTTTCAAAATAAAATAATACATTGGTCACTCAGTCCACAACTGTTTGTGCAATTAGCTGCTGCGTTTCGCTCACAAAATATACAGTTAAATTGTTTTACAGTATATTCTGTGAAGCACTTTGAGATGTCTCAGACACTACCAGCATCATGGATGCACACAACACCTCACCAAGCCAGTCAGGAATCTAGGCGTCTTGTTTGACTCTCAACTGTCCTTTCTCCCCCACATCTGTGCCATGACCTGCTCTGCCTTTCCCCACCTCCGCAACATTGCCAGATTCTGCTACTGCCTCACCCCTCAAACCACTGAAACCCTTATACATGCCTTCATTGCATCCAGGCTCAACTATACCAATGCCCTGCTTGTCAGCCTTCCGACGAGCAGGGCGTTGGTATAGTTGAGCCTGAATGCAGATCATCCAGAACTCTGCAGCCCGTGTCTTTTCCCACACCAGGCTCCATGACCCTATCACCCCCATCGTCGCCTGACTCCACTGGTTTCCCATCACACAGAGGATACAGTTCAAGATCCTGGTCCTCACTTTCAAAGCCCTCCATGGCCTTGCTCCCCCAACCTCTGTGATCTCCTAACCCACTTACCAACCTGCCCGCACCCTCTGCTTAGCAGGCTCCGGCCTGCTCCATGTCCCACACCTCACCCACCCCACCATTGGCAGGCAAGCCTTCAGTCACTCTGTGCCCATCGGCAGTCCTTCCGCCTCACCACCTCCCTTGCCTCCTTCAGGACTTGTCTCAAGACCTTCCTCTTCGACCGTGCCTTCGGCCACTCTCCTTCCCCCCATGCCCTGATCCCGATCCCCAGCTCAGGTCTGAAACACTGATTGTCTAGTGACTTGGGACGTCCTCTTGATGTGAAAGGCACTATATAAATGTAATTTTGTTGTTGCTTCAAAGACATGATAAGGCATTATATCAAATGCAAGGATTATTATTATTACAAATACAGCAAGTACATTTCACAAAAAAAACTGCTTCAAGTCATTATCAACAAAGGCTCATAACAAAAGCAAGGATTATTATTTTAATAAGAATAAATTTGAAGCCCCACATTGATACCTTGAGCTGCATTGTTGGAGGTGGCGTCCTTGGGATGAGATATTAAACTAGGAACCGGTCTACCTGTTCAGGTGAATGTTAAAGATCCCATTGCACTATTCAGCAACAACAACAACTTGAATTTATCTTCACTCGGGATAGCATCTCGGGCGCTAAGAGAAAAAGAGAATGGAGATTACCAGATTCCTCAGATAAAATTGGTCAATTATTTTATGGCTGTTTTTATGGCTGGGGTATTGCTGTGCACAAATTGGCTGCCATGTTCACTTACAAATAGTCGACATTTTACAATAATCCTATGAAGCACTAAAAAATCGTGTGAAAGGTGGTACGGTATATCAAATGTGAGGATTACTGTGGTTTGGTCTTCAATTACACCATTACACTACATTTGAATCTGATAGTATACATATTTAATATATCCATCTTTCCTGATGTGTCATGTTTGTCTAATAGCCCCGAGTCTTTTTAGCAGACAGAACTTATCTAGTTCATTTTTGTCTCTTGTTCTCTCTCTCAAATATAGAGAGAGAACAAGGCGTTTCACCCACAAATACAGTCAATTCACTTTACAGTATATTTTGTGAAGTACTTTGAACATCTAGAAGATGTGAAAAAGCGATATATCAAATGCAAGGATTATTATATATTATAGAAACAGCATTTGAACTTGGGATTCAGATAAAAATTATCGAAACATTTGATGAAAAATATCATAAACCATTCGTAAAATTGGTTGGACCTGCTAAACCCCTATCAATCTGTCCGCTCCCTCCATTCAGCAGACTCCAGTGTTTTTTACAAACCATTTATAAAATTAAGTTTAAGCATGAACTTTGAATGGGTTGTTTCAGTAGGTGTAAATTACACAGTATCTCAAAGTGTAGGACTTAAGAACATTGTTTTGATCTTCAAATCCCAGCATGTTCTCACCTTACAACAACAACATTACAGTTGTAAAGCGTCTTTCACATCAGGAGGACGTCCCAAGGCGATGAACAGTCGAGGATCAGGACCCGAGCGTGGGAGGGGGCAGGGTTGGGGTGAGAGAGGACAGAGAGGTAGGATGGTGGCTGAAGCCATGGTCGAAAAGGAGGGTCTTGAGTCGTGCCTTGAAGGAGGCGAGGAAGGGAGCAAGGCAAAGGGATTGTGGAATGGAGTTCCAGAGGGTGGGGGCAGAGAGGCTGAAAGCCCGTTGCCAATGGTAGGACGGGTTGGATGGGAGACATGGAGCTGGCTGGAGTCCACTGAATGGATGGAGCGGACAGGTTGATAGGGGGTTAGCAGGTCAGAGAGGTAGGAGGGGACAAGGCCGTCGAGGGCCTTGAAAGTAAGGACATGGGGTTTGAATTCTATCCTCAGAGGGATGGGGAGCCAGTGGAGCCAGGAGGTGATGGGTGTGATGGGGTCATGGAGCCTAGTGCGGGAGAGGACACAAGCTCAAAGTTCTGGATGATCTGAAACTTGTGGAAGGAAAAGTTGGGGAGGCCGACAAGTAGGGAGTTTTTGTAGTCGGACCTTGAAGTGACGAATGCGTGAATGAGGGTTTTGGCGGCTTGAGGGGTGAGACAGTGGCGGACTCGTTCAATGTTGCAGAGGTGGGGGAAGGCAGAGCAGGCCATGGCACAAATGTGGGGGAGAAAGGACAGTTGAGGGTCAAACAAGACATCCAGGTTCCTGACTGGCTTGGTGAGGTAGAGTGTGCGTCCATGGATGTTGGCAGTGCCTAAGATGTGGAGGCACTGATGCGCACCAATCAGGTGGGCATCCATCTTGCTGGCATTCAGCAGTAGAAAGTTGGCTCTCATCCAGGACGTGATGTCTGACAGGCAGTCTGTCAGGACATCAGTTGTCCTGGAATCGAGGGTGGAGGCAGAGAGATAGAGCTGGGTGTCATCTGCATACATGTGGAAGTTGACCCCATGTCTGCGGATGATGTCACGAAGAGGGAACATGTAGAGGTTGAAGAGGAGGGGATCGAGTACAGAGCCCTGAGGAACACCGCACAAGACTGTGCGGGAGCTGGAAGAGAAACTGTTGGCGGAGACAAATTGGAGATGTTGTGAGAGATAAGACCTGAATCATTCAAGGACAGAACCTTGAAGGTTGAGGTGAGAGGAGATGGTGGAGGAGGATGAAGCGGTCCATGGTATTGAAGGCAGCAGAGAGGTCGAGGAGGATGAGGAGGCAGAGGGAGTCCTGGTCACAGATGGACAGGTTGTCGTTTGTGACCTTGACTAGTTTCAATGAGCAGCACAGAAACCCAATTGGAGGGGCTTGTGAAGTAACTGGTAGGAGAGAATGCACAAAGCTGGGAAGCAACAACTCTTTCAAGGACGTTG